TGTCTTGGAAAGAAGTGAGCCAGCTCCTTCATACAGCTGGGTGACCATGGGTCAGAGATATTAGGGAGAATTTCTGCAAGAACTAGGGGACTGGACTAAAGTCCCTCTCAACTCTCAAATCCCATGATTATATGTTGTAATAAATTGCAAGCTTTTTTTTTAAAGATTTTTTTATTAGGGAATTGGGGGGAGGGGAACAGCGTTGGGGAATCGGGGAAGGGGAGCAGACAGGTAGACAAATTGCTGTTTTGTTCTTCAGTCTAGTTGTGGAGGATGTCGCTTCACTGGCCCATGTTGGTATGATCATTGTGCTGTTCCCGGGTGAGGCAATTGGTCGCCGGTCATTGGTCGGCCGCTCACAGTGGCTCCCGGTAGCTCACACTGGCTGCCCGCTGCTCACGCTGGCTGCCAGCCACTCACTTAGCTCATGACAGCCCACTGCAGCCCTGCTGCAGCCTATGCCATCACTGGCGACTCACAGCAGCCCAGCTCCAGGTCGAGCTGTTGTTCATCATCTTAGCTGTAGAGGGTGAGCGTCACTGGCCCTCAATGTGGGATCTGAACCGGGGCCCTGCTGCTCAGAGCTGGTGCTCCCAAGCGAGCTCTTAACCAGCTGAGCCACTTGGCCGGCCCAATTGCAAGCTTTTTAAGGGTCTTTAATATGGAATCTTATGGAATCTGCTCAAAGCATAATGCAAGACTCAATTATATCAATTTATTTTTTTTTGTTTACGCTGAGCCATCTTGCCACCTGTTGGCAGCTCAGTGGCTGCTCAGCTCAGGCCGGGAATCGAACCGCTGTTGCTCAGAGCTCAAACTCTTGAGTGAGCTCTTAACCAACTGAGCCACTCGGCCGGCCCTTATCAATTTTTTCTTAAAGGGAAAAACACTCTTCCAACTTAGTCAGTCTGGAGTGGTGCTACATGGAGTAAGAGAACTACATAATAGTCCCTCTAAGCTTTCCTCAGTCCCGTTAAGTTTGCTGTTGAATTCCCCCAACTCCTTTTTAAGACACAGAGAGGCAATTAAGGATTACCTTTGAATAGTTTTTTATTTTTTGTGTTTGTTTTTAAGATTTTATTGGGGAACTGGGAAAGGGGAGCAGTGTTGAACAGTTTTGACTTTTATTAATGAGCATGTTTGCAGGTTTTTAGGGCTCAAAAGATGATTTATAGCCTTCTAGAATTATTTTTAACTTGTCTTTCATAGTTTAGGAATCCAGATCACTTTTACTCATAAGAGAGCTGAGCTCCAGAAATTTGCAGGCCACTGAAGGGACAATATGCCAAGGCTGAAATCTAACCTCTTATATTCTAAATGACATTGCCTTTGTACATTTTCCCAAGTCACCCAAGTTCCAAGTCCTTTTCTTTCAGACCACTTACCATATTTTATGGATTGATTTGTGTTCCCCGCCTCCAACACATATGTTAAATTTCTAACCCCTGGAAATGTGATCTTATTTTGAAATAGTGTATTTGCAGATGTAATCAAGTTAAGATGAGGTCATATTGGAATAGGGTGGCATGTAACCCAACGATTTATAAGAACAGGGAAATTTGGATACAGACACACAAGGAGACAACCATGTGAAGATAGGCAGATATTGGGAGTTATACTACCACAAGGTATAGATCACCAAGAATTATCAGCAACCACCAGAAGCTAGGAAGAGACAAGGAAGGATCTTCACCTACAGTTTTCAGAGAAAGCATGGCCCAGCCGACACCTTGATTTTATACTTTTAGCTCCCAGGACTGTGAGAGAATAAGTTTTTGTTTAAATTACCAGTTTGTGGTAATTTATTACATCAGCCCTAGGAAATGAAAGCATTACATCCAATGCATTTCTCTCAGGCAGGAAGGGATGGAGTAATAAGAAAGGGTGTTAGACTCAGACATTATGAGAAACAAAGATGGAAAGTCTTGAGGAGTAGACGTGTTCCGCTCCTCATTCCCTGGCCAGGAGAGGAACAGAGACAACAGCATCACCTTTAGCAAGCGTCTGCCATCACCCTGGTGTTAGATCGTGCCATACTTGGCTGTATGAGCAGGCAAAGGGTGCCCTGTTAGGGACTATCCATTTGCCTAACAAACTGACTACAAATTCAGCCAGGTACCCTGGGCACCTTTAGGGCATAAGAGACAAGAGAAAAATTAGATTTCATGTGATAGGCTGAACAGATTGTGCCTAATAACTTGAGACAATAGAGAATCAACAAAAAGAAAGGAAGGTGGACTGTGAAGCAGAAAGGTATAATAGAAAAAGCTACTTAGGGGGAAAATAATTATAATAATCTCTTACATTTGTTAGAGCTTTATAGTTGACAAAACACTTCTAATACATGATATTATCTAATCTTCAAATGGTTTAGTGAGGAATGCTAGGCCTTCAAGTCCCCCATTTTACTAATGAGGAAGTTGAGGTTCATAGAGGTTAAACACTTGCTCAAGGTCACTTGTCTGTGCTAGCACTGGAACTTCAACCCTTGACTTCTTTCTGTCCATTATCTTTCCTGTCAGGTGGTTCAGCCAGCTCCCTCTCTGGTGCACATCCAACCTCAGAGGTCTACAGCTACCTCTCTTCTCCTCCCCATACTAAGTAGACTCTGCACAGAGCAGGGATTTGATGTGGAATGATGGAGACTAGCTGATTAATTGAGGTGAGTGTGGGTAGAGCAGGAGGTCCCAGGTCTTGTGCTTGGTACAGATTTCCAGTTTCTACCTCTCAGTGTGTATGACAGAGCCGAGCTGACACCAGCATCACCCTGTGTGTCAGGAGGTAGTCATGGAAACTCATTCCTTCCTGATGAGAAGAGGATTAGGTAGAAAGGGAGAATCAAGTTAATTGCCTGTCATCCCCTCTCTGCTCTCTGTGTGTTGATTCAAATTAAGCTTTTTCAGTTTCTTGATGTCAGCAGATATTAAATGACCAGAGCACAGGCCTGGGACTCAGGACCTCCAGGAAACAGCCAGTTCTGAGTGAATCCCTTAAGCTTTTTGCCTCTCTGCTTAGCTCTGACCCATGCATTCAGGAAAACAAATCTCTTTGACCTCTCTTGATTTTTGACCCAGACTCTCTGAACTGCCTTAATTTTGACCATCTATGACCTTATATTCGTTTAACTAGCCATTCCCCCTCTGCAGAGAAAAGAGCAAAGAATTCAAATTAAATTCTGCATTTGTTGAAATTCACTGTAGCTCAGAGATAAATAGTTAGGTAAGTCAACGATGAATGTTCTGTGATGTTTGGTGCCCACACAAAGGCAAGTAGACACAAGATCTAGAGATCTTCTGTGAGAGGTGTCACCAAAGCTCTGTTGGCACCTGAGCAGAGCTGGACGAGATCTCCAGAGATGAGGCCTTTTCCTTTCCTGTCCCATCCCTAGGGTTCATTCACTATGGCTAGATGGAATTATTTAAGATTTTTATATATGCTTCTTGCTTGTTTTATCTTTGGCTCCTCAAGTTTTCTCTGCCTGGAATACCCTTCTTACTTTTTAATTATTTCTCAACCCTCACAATGCTTCCCTGGGAAGCCTTCTCAAGGCTAAATATGGGACTTCAAAACACCATGACTTCCTTTTACTATAGACAACCAATGTTCCATCACCGTGCACAGGAATTCTACTTCCCCACTAGACTACAAGCTTCCGGAGACAAAGACTGTGTCTTCCTTGATCATGTTTCCTAGCACCGAGCACAGTGCCTGACACATATGATCAACAAACATTTGTTGAATAAGTGATTGATTTAGTGAGTAATAAATGGAGTTATGGAGGGTGATGTCTTGTAAGGAGAAAATATTTAGTTAAGGTCTAGAGTTGAATATTGGTTGTAAATCGGTTTGAATTTCTCTGCTGTTTGCATTTCACCTAAATAGCATGGCAGCTGTGAGGCTTCTTTGGACTCTAGACCTGGTTTACTCCAAAACTCTGCTCTGCCTCATTCAGGCCAGCATGTCTCCTGGGATTTTTGGCAATTATGGCTCTGAAAGTAGCAAGCCCTGAGATTAAGTGTACTGGTTTATGGTGGAAACTGCAGAGGTAGAGGAGGTAGAATGCAGAATCCTAGGACAAAAAGGTTGAAGTGAGGGTTTGGGGGATGTTTGCGATTCCTCATGAGGCTTTTCCTGGATCACAAGGAAATTCTGGGAAGGAAATGTTGTCTCCTAATAGACACTGTCTAGGAAAAAAGTGCCTCTCAGTTTAATAGTGGAGGTAAAAATATGACTTTCTCCTTGTGTCTGTATGCTGTTCATAGTTATAGTGCTCTCAGGAAAGAGCACTGAGCGAGGGTTCAGCAGATTTGAGTGCTTGTCTGTCATTAACCAACGTGGGACAACAGCTCTGGGCCTCAGCTTCCTTTTCTGTAAGTGAAAGAGAGGGTAAAACCAAATACTCTCTACAGACTGTTTCATGATTCTATAAAAATAGATTATGGATCTCCCATGTGGCTGTTTCAGAAGTTGAACATGGCAGGAGAGGGAGAGTGATGTTTTGGGATGGGTTCTTCAGAAAGCTGAGGGGTAGAGGTGGGCCGGGTAGGGTGAGGCTTTCCCAGGGGTTCTTTGTTTTATCTTTTTCTTCCCATTTTTTTCTCCTCACCCCTTTGCCTCTCTGGTGGGAGGCATTGTGCCATAGTGGCTATTTGCATGGAGTTGGAGGTCAGATAGACGAAGTACATTTGAATCCCATCTCCACCACTTACTGTGTGTGACCTGGGACAAATTTCGTGGACTTCCACTGCCTCAGTTTCCTCTTTCATCTACAAACAGTTTATCTTCCTAAGGTTATCGTTAGTGTTGAATGACTTGATGTAAAGAAAGGATGCAAAGTAGTACTGTTTCTCACAAATATACTAATACTGATGCTATATACATTTCTGTCCTAGAACTCTGATTTTGCCATGGAATTCTATGATCTTTTACTCACTGTCCCACCTGTTTGCTGTTGATTTTGCATGGAAAAAACTAGGAATCATGTAATTTGACTTCTTCAGGTATTTAATTGTCTAAGCCCCCAGTTCTGCTTGCACCATACACCTATTGAACTAGTTGGTACAAGGCAGAAGAACTAGTAGACAGACAGAATTTCCCACTGAGTTACAATAATAAATATTGTTATAGACAATAACATTTTTAAAATGGTGCATATAAAGCATTCAGGAGTAACAGGTAACCAGCTCACTGAGGGTATATATTTCCTTCTTATACACTTAAGGGTTAGAGGAATAAAGATGGGTCAAGAGAAGCCTTAGATTCCTTGTAAGTTCTTGTGCACTTTTAGTTTTAACAGCATTGTAGCAGGTATCTGTCATGCCTATGCACTAATGGTTATTAACAATACATTTATTGAAGTTCAGGATGATAACGTTTCATAAATTATCCATAAATTGTACCTTCATTCTGTAACCAATGCAAAATAGCTTCTGTAGGTGAAAAGGTAAATGGTGAGAATATTCAGGTTCCTTCTATGCCATTTTGAATGACATTCGCACATTACTTCTGTATACCTTTAATCTCAGTTGTTGGAGTGGTGATGTTTAGGATCTGCAGTAGGGCTGTCCATGTGATGGTTTTGGGGAGCTATCCTGCCTGGTGCCCTCAGTTCTGAGGTCCCCTGGCAGTCTAGGTGAGTCCCTACCATACCACCCTTCGAGAAGGAAATGGGCAAACATAGGAGCAGGTGGTGAGCTCCTTGAGGGCAGGATCTGTCTTATTCATTGTCCTATATCCAGACCTTGGGAGGTGACAGGCACTTTGCAGACACTATATATTCAATAAGTTTTCAGGGTCTGAAAGTATTGAGTCCCTGTTAAGCGGGAGATGGAGATGCCTGGGTAGGAAAACCTTATAGTGTTATGAAAAGCTTATTGAAGACATGTTCTGCACCACAAGGTTCAACACTGATGCTACAAGTGGGAATTGTTGTTCCTTTTTCACTTAACATCCACATTTTGAATTACTCTGGGGTCGAGACTCTGAGAGTAAGGTGATGGAATCAAGGGCCTTCTTAGCTAGACCTAAAATACAGGGGTAGCAAGGTTTGAAATGAAGCCCAGGTCCCAATGTGGGACGTCTCCTTTAGGGTGAGGAATTTCCCTCACCAAACATAGCCAATCAGATTCTGTGGAGAGGCAGAATCACTGGCCTTGCCATTATACCTCAAAATACAGTGAATGAAAGGAATGACCAAAAGGGAGTGGGCCCACAAAAGTACAAGTTTAGCTTGACAGCTAATTAGAGGTTTGAAGGAAGAGCGATGGGCTGTCCTGCAAGATGGTTTGCTGGCTGAGATTTCAAGGACCCCGGCAAGTTGAGAATTATATCTGTTCATTTCCCCTTCACTGTAATGAATCATGCCTCCGATGACAATTTTGTGTGTGTGTAGAGTCATGTTTTATCAGCATCTTTCTGAATTATTGCTTATCGTTCACGGTCTCCCCAACTGCTTGAAGATTGCCAGGATGAAATCAGATTTTAGCTGGGAGGTAGAACGTTCTGATTTAGAGGAAGCAGTTGGTTACCCCAGCCACTCAGTGGCGCCCTGGCTTCAGGAATCTTCTTCCTACCACATGCCAGAGGACATGGCAGTCTTTCTGAGCAGGCCCTGGCCAGTGGCCCAGTGGCCTGAGAGATAAAGGCGGGCACAGGGAGTGTTCTCTTCTCTCCTTCAGCAAGACAGTATCTTGAGGAAGGCTTTGCGGAACTCTACATTGAAGGTGGTATAGATCACGGGGTTGAGGGCACTATTCACATAGCCCAGCCACGTTGTGGCGCTGTAGAGCTCTGGGGACACGTGGCATGCTGGGCAGTGGGCATTGAGAACGTGGGTCAAAAAGAAAGGCAGCCAGCAGACAATGAAGGTCCCTAGGTTGCAAAGGAAGAGAAAAACTGGGTGAGTGCTTTGCTTACTCGTTTTGTTATAACACGAAAATGACTCACGCTTGTTTCCTTTGTGCCAGCTGCTATGCTGGAAGTTTTACATACCCATTAAATTTTCAAACCAACCCTAGAAGTAGGTGTGATTAGCCACTTTTTTTTTAATGAGAAAACATCAAAATGCTAACGCCTTTAATTTATCTTATGCCTTTGTTCCTAAATCAATATTCTAGCTTGATCTTTAGATAGTTCTTTACTATTTTTTCTACTTCTCAATTTAAATAAAATATTTATTTAATACCTAGCCATCAAGACATGATCCTAGGTGCTAATAGGGAAGGAGACCCTAAAGACACAATTGGCAGAGTTCCTGCTGTTGAGGAAATTATATCTAGGGATTCTCATAAAGTCCCAAGATACCAGCAGGTGAGGTTTGTCAGTGATAATGAACAGGATGAATTGTCTTCACTAACTCTATATGGTACCTGTGAACTAATTTTTTTCTTTATTTAAATAAATGTTATATTTTTTTACTAAAAAAACTAACTCTGATTTTATACATTACAAAAACTTGGTAAATACAGAAAAGTAGAAAGAAGAAAAATAACCACCCACCCCTCAAAGATAATCACTTTTGACATCTTGGTGAATTAATTTTCAGTATTTAAAATAATCTAGATGTTATCATACCACATGACAGTTGTTTTTTTTCATCCCTATTTTTTTCACTTAATAGTTTAGACTAAGTAAGCATTTATTAAATATCCAATATGTGCAAGACACTTTTATTTTATTATTATCTTATCTATTATTCGATTTATTCATTATAATTCCACATTTTAGACAACAAACGTGACAGATAAACATAGCTCAATTAGGTGACTTTTTAAGTTTCATATTTCATACTTTTCAGTCTAGGTCTTGTGATTTCCACCAGTTAACATTTATACACAAACCCTTTCAATTATTTTATAAACATTTAAAAATGTTGCAGTCATTGGATTTCCAATTTCTGTCTATTGTGGTTACCTTAATCCTCTGCTGGCTGCATCAAACTCAGCCTAACCCAATTTCATCTAACCCAACCAATTCAACCCAAACTCACCGAGCACAATGGCCAGCATCTGGGTTGCCTTCTTCTCTCGAAGTGGCACTGCCCGAGGTTGCAAGGGCCCCAGCCTCAGGGATGTAGACAATCTGCCGTTACTGAGTTTTCGAACCTCTAAGCTGAGCTTGGGTGCCACAGTGGGGCTGAGGGAGTTCCGAGTCCTCCCCTCCTTTTTCAATTCTCCTTCCGCTTCTTGGAAGCCTGGTGGCCCGAAGGCAGTATCTTGGCAGATGCTATAGTAACGCCTCAGCTCCATGTGTGCCTCGCCAGGAGAGAGGGGCTGCAGGTGTGACAAGAGAGGGTCCTGACATTTCTGGGGATATTGTTTATCATCTGAATGTTCCTGAAAGGGAAAGAGAATGCAAAGAAGGAAGAGGAAACTATCATTGTGTGAAAGCTGCAGAGGGTGCATCTGAGAGTGGGGGGACCATGGAAGGTTAAGGTAAATGACATCTGCTTCTGACTTTATACTAAAAAGCACCTACTACATATCAAACATTTGAAAATCATATAATCTCTTGAGGAGGGTAGCATAGGACTATAGCCTGGCCTTTTTGAGTTAGAATGGCTTTGATATACAGAGGAATATGTTAGATGACACCACTGGGAGGTAAGCAGCAAAGTCTGGAGTGTGAGCAACTCTTTAAGATAAACAATTTGGTTTCTTTAACAAATAAATTGCTACAGCAACAACAACACTTACTAGTTGCAAAATATGGGTCTTATTTAATTTTTTTTTTTTAATTGAGGAATTGGGGGATGGGAGCAGCGCTGAGTAATTGGGGGAAGGGGAACAGACAAGTTGTTGTCGTTTTTGTTCTTCAGTCTAGTTGTGGAGGACGTTGCTTCACTGGCCCAAGTTGGCACCATCATTGCGCTCTTCCCGGGTGAGGCAGATCAGTCTCTGGCTTCTGGACGGCCGCTCACTGCGGCTGCTGGCCCCTCACGCTGGCTGCTGGCTACACACGGTAGCCCATGGCAACCCACTGCCACAGGGGCTGCAGCCTACGCCGTCGCCGGCGACTCACGGCAGCCCAGCTCCAGGTTGAGCTGTTGTTCAGCATCTTAGCTGTAGAGGGCAGTGTCACTGGCCCTCATATGTGGGATCCGAACCGGGGCCCTCTGGTGTCCCACGCCAGCTCTTAACCAATGCGCCACTCGGCCGGCCCAGGTCTTATTTAAATTTTGATTCAAATAAACCAACTGTAAAAAATTTATCACACTGAGAAAATTTGCACATTGGATAATGATATTAGGAAATATAGGGATATCATTAATTTATTTAGTTTGATGCGGTATTGTGATTATATGCTTTATAACAGAGTTCAATATCCTTTAGAGCGTCTTACAGAAATAATTTTGGTTGAAATACTATGACGTTTGGGATTTGTTTCATAACAATCCATTGGGACCTTGTGAATACAGGTGGGAGTGTAGATGACATAAAATTGGCCATGCGCTGATAATTAGAAGGTGACTGATGGCTACTGAAGGATTTGTTATATTTGTCTTTCTACTTTTTTATTTTTGAAGTTTTCCACAACAAAAAGTTAAAACAATAAAGGAAAACCCATGATTTTCATCTCAGCTTTTCTACTTAGTAAACGTACCCTTGGGAAGTTAATGAAATATCTCTAAGCCACATTTGTGAAACACAAAAGAAATTGGAAAAAGTGGGTTTGGGATGAGCAGACACTGAGTAGAAAACTGAAGACATGTGGATATTTCTGGTATTTGGGGGGATACGTGTGTGTGCTCAACATCTGAACTTCTTTTCATGTTGAAGAATCAGACACTGTGTCAATCTTGAGTAGCAGGCAGAACCCCTCAGCTTCCATTACTCAAGACATAGCAGCCAGATACTCTCCCCCACGTGCCCACTGGGCAGCTAGAAGTCTGGCACAGGAACCCAGCCCAGCCAACTGGAGGTTCGCACCTAAGACCTTGAATTGGAGCTCATGAGGTAGGGAGACTTCAGAATTCATCTAGCAATCATGGCAGTCAATGTCCAGTGTTTGGCCTTCTCAGCAGATTCTTCCTCAGGCTTCTGAAGCTGTTCGTCAGCCTTCTCGCTGAGTCTGAGCTACTCCATAGCCTTCCAGTAAATTCCTTTTTCTACATAAGTTAGTCAGTGTCAGCCACCAAGAACCCCCACGACTCTCCCCTTAGTTCAGGGCATTAAAATTTTTCAGATATGTGGTGCTAGTACATTGTACACACTCAGAAACATTATTGAATGAATCAATGCAAGGGGCCTTCAAGATGATATAGTATTTTTTTGTTTTGTTGTTGTTGTTGTTGTTTAGCTTTTATTTCATAATCATAAACTTAACTCTGCAACCCAGGCTAGACTTGGAGGGGGCAAGGAAAATATGGAACCCACTGAACTGCAGCGAGAGCACAAAGATAATGGGGTGTTCCGAGCAGATGGGGCAGGGGTACTCTCCTGACTACAGAAGGAATGGTCTGGTTAAGATAAAACCAGTCAAATGCATCAGAATTGTCCACAGTCAGCAATGGTGATCTTCTTGCTCGTCTTGCCGTTTCTGGACCCAAAGTGCTCCATGGCTCCCACAATATTCATGCCGTCTTTCACCTTGCCGAAGACCACGTGCTTGCCATCCAACCACTCAGTCTTAGCCGTGCAGATGAAAAACTGAGAACCGTTTGTGTTGGGTCCAGCTTTTGCCATGGACAGTATGCCAGGACCTGTATGCTTCAGGAGGAAATTCTCATCTTCAAACTTCTCCCCATAGATGGACTTGCCACCTGTGCCGTTATGGCGTGTAAAGCCACCACCCTGGCACATAAATCCTGGAATAATTCTGTGAAAGCAGGAACCCTTATAACCAAATCCTTTCTCCCCAGTGCTCAGGGCACGAAAGTTTTCTGCTGTCTTTGGAACTTTGTCTGCAAACAGCTCGAAGGTGGGGTTGACCATGGTTGAGCAGAGGGAAGTCCAGGCGGCGGCGTCTGGAAGGCCGATATAGTATTTTTAAACTGTGCTCCACAGAGGTAGCCATAGGGATTCTAGTGTAATATATTAAAAAAACTTTTTTGACTTTCATTTTGATGGGGTTTTCTACTAATTAATGTAAGCATATTGTATTTTATCTGAATGAGCATGATTATGTTTATAATCGCGCTGGCATGTGATCTTCTAGAATTGACAATATTTAACTTCTAATGCATTATTTCTGAAACTAGGCAACTGGGGACAAATTCTTGACATTGCTTATGAAATCTCAGATTTGAGAACACTGATCTAGTGTACCTTGTCTCCATTTTACAGATGTGAAAACTCAGTCCTATAGAAGGAAAGTGATTCTTCCAAGGTTATACACTGGTGTGTATATTTTTCAGCTCTGCAAACCCTCCTTACTACCTCCATGGCTGACATGAGAAAACACTGGATTCCTTTGAGTCTGGCTGGCAGAGCTCTGCACTCCCAGATGGCAGGACAGAACCTATTCCTCCTCCCTCCAGGCAATGCCAAACTCTTGGTTCTCTAGTAACTCCTTAGTAGTCATTACTTTTTCTTCTTTTGGCCTTGGGAGCCTCCTCCGACCTTGGATCTGCTATAGGCAGCTTTAAACCACACACACACACACACACACACACACACACACACACGCACGCACGCACGCACGCACACACACACACACACAATCACACTTTTTTTTGGTTTTTTTTTGTCATTTACAAGCATCTCTAACTCCTACCCCAGACTTGTATAAAAAGTGGTAAATTAACTGTACAGAGATTGGACAAGGCTCAGAGCTTTATCATTATGGGTTTTTGAAGCTTTATTCTTAATATTTACTTGGCTGTGGAGTTCAGGTAAAGGAACTGGTCTTATATTTAACACCCTCAGGCTCCATTCTTTACTTGGCTTGCTTGGGGAGGCAAGGCTGGCTTGAATTGGAAGGAAAGGATCAGGGTGACTATGAAATTGTCTTGTTTTCCCCCATATTCAATAGCAGATAGGGCACTTGAAAGTTTCACATTAGTTTCCCTTCTCTGCTTTTCTTGGCTTTGCCCATGTATGTTTCATTGATGCCCTGTTTCCTGTAATGCAGGTGGCTATGGATGGCATCCTCACACCACATCCAAGAGTCTTTGGCTCTAGTTATTGGGGTCTTGCCCAATAGTCATATGCTTTCTGAATATCATTTGATGGTTCCTATTTTGAAACTTCAATCAGGCAGGACCTCAGATCTGTTCTATATTATAGATACAAGTGTGGATTGGAGTTAGATTCCATTTTGGGGTGGAGGTGGAATCAAGTCACGCCAGCATCTTGAGTAAAGGTCTCTTATTCTTTTGCTACATGAAAGATATGGCTTACTTACCATTTTCCCAGTGGCTTCTGATGGAATTCTGGCCCTTATTGAAAACTGTCGAATGGGGTGCAGCCGAAGACAGGAAGACTAGAGTGGGTTGAAGGAGGAATAATTGTGGGTTAAGCTCTACAGAGTTGAGCCATAGATGACAATGCTTTGAATACAATACGTTCAGATTCTCAGCCTCCAGTTCTGACCTCCTATTTCATGAGAACCAATATTCTTATTTTACCCAAGCCTTGGGACTTCAACTTTGAGAGTCTCACCATCACTCAGGTTGATCTAGACATCCAAATGTGACCTGCCTTCAAGATCAGTTCAGTTCTTACTTTGATTATGAAGCCCTTTCCTGAGCATATTGATCTCTCTCTCCTTGTAACCTCAAAGGTCTTTGATATTTGGGTGCTCAATTGTCTTCACCTCACATTTGGCAAACATCCCATTCAGTTTGGGGCTGTTCATTAACTTTGGGTGGAGGTGGGTTTGATTTGCTTGTCTAGATTCTAAGCTCCATGAAGGCAGAGGCTATATAATATTCCTACTGTCCCTTCCCTAGAAGATTGTAAGGAATTGGTAGTCATCCATTCAAGTACATTATGGGTAAGCTACCATGACACTGGAATGAGCAGAATTTAAATCCCAAGAAATTGGAAGATCAGTGCTGAGGCAACGACCTTCCTTTACAGAGCCTAAAAAGACCCAAAACTAATATAATATTGAATGTAAATTGTAAATGGAAAAAAAACCCCAATAAAATGTGTCATCAGCACCCCATTCCACCGGCTCCTGCATTCCTTGATATAGGAACAGATCTAGCAAGGAAAAGACATTTCGATGAACCCCGGTGATTCTTGCAATCAGTGATCTGGCCAAAAAGTCAGTCTTGGGAACCTACCAGCAGCAGTATATGCCACACTAAAACCTTAAACCCTGTGTGACGTCTGAACTGTTGGCCATTTAATGACAATGAAAGACTTTGAAGAGAAGCAGAACAAGCTAAGAAACTATCTTATCATCTTGTCAAGTAAGGTGTGAGCTAAGAAAGATGATCCAATCCAAAAAACTGTCACTTTTTGGATTGGACCTCCTACCTCTAAAGCAGAGCCAATACCAGCAGAATAGAAAGTGGGTATCAGATGTGTGTCTCCAGTGTGGCTTTACAGACAAAAGCACACACTGCTGGCCACAGGCTGGAAGGCCATGGGGCTGGCTGTTGTCTTCCCTCTGCCCCTCCCGAGTGCTTACTTGCTGAGGGAAGCCGGGCCTGACACTGATGCATTGACTGTTTTGTCTCGTGAGGATCCGTTTCCGCCTCCTCTGTCTCAGCACCACGTAGATCCTGGCATAGACGAGGACAGTCACTCCAAAGGGCAGGTAGAAGGATACCACTGAAGAGTAGATGACAAAATCAGGGTTGGAGATGGAGCAGACGCTGGGGTCTCCTGTGAGTGAGAGAAACGGAGGAAGCAAAGCAGTTTGCCAAGTAAGAGACCTCAGTGGGGAGCACAACATAGGGCCCCAAACCATGTGTGGTGTCTCCACTGTCTAATACACTTGAAGCTTTGAAAAGCAAAGGTTCCCGGTCCCACTGACGCCCTCATCATGTCCCAGTTCACACTCTCCTCATCCATGGAGGCTTGTTTGAGCTTCTCAGTTAGAAGCAATTCTTACTTCCTTTGTGCCTCACAGCCCTTTACTTTTGCCTCTTTTGTGTAGTTAGTACACACACAAAGTAGTAAGGATGGGGGCATGCAGTCTCAGACAACTGCGTTGTCAGCTTACTGAGGGTGGGAGATCTAACGCACCTTTGTGTTGGTCACAGTTCACTTAAATAGAAAATGTACCAATGATTACCTGCCAGACACTGCTCTACACTGATGCTGCAAAGAGGTATGCCACCATATCCACCCTTGAAGGGACTCACAGTCTAGACTCTAGACAGACAGGTGATCCTTTCTGTAGGCTGTGCTAAGTGTCACAGAGGCATGCAAGCTGCAGGGGGTGTCAACAAGCAACAGAGCAGAGGCTCTCGGGGGATGCAGCCCCCAGGAAAGGGTCTGCTGGAGGGGAGGCCTGTGGGGATTGTTGAGTGCAGTGAATGGAAGAAGGCTTCTTTGATGAGAATGACATGTTTCCAATTTTGAATCCGGGGTATGGGGCAGATGGTGGCTGAATACTAGACAGACATTTGATTTTTCAGGGAATTCCAGAATGGTCAGGGTTGAGATGGGAAGAGGGCCAGTGAGGGTATTGTCACCCTGGACAAAGTGAATTGTTTTATGTCCTGAAATTCTCCTGTCATTCCTTCTTGGGAGGGCCTTGTCATTTTGTCTTCTTTGCTAGCAGATGTTGAGATTCCTCCAATGCCCAGGAGAGGGCCTAGAACTTGTTTGTCCCTCTTGGAAGGGAAAAAGGGAAGCAAACTCATATCTTCCAGGTGATATGCCATGGATTTTGTACCAATTACCTTACGTACTCATGACAATGTTATGTGACACAGGTAGCATTACTGACATTTCTTACTGCTCACCTATTCTCAGGTGAGCAGACAAAGTAAGGCATTGAGAGGTTCAGTACGTGACCCAATATCACACAGCCTGGAAGGGGCAGGGCCCCTTTTCCTTTGGCCACTCTGACACCCCCAAACCAATGTACTTTCTGTGATTTTGACTCTCTACCCCCCTCCACCACTGGGACATGACACATTTGCACTTTCTCCAGCACTGTCAGCAACAGCTGTTGAGTAGATGACACCCAGTAGGACTGGGCACCAAGTTGGCCAATCTTCATACAGGTTGGGGATTCTCCAACCCAAAATCTGGCCTCAGAACATGTAGCCTCAGGTGTGAGCTGGTGGAGAGAGGGCAGTGGCCACATGGGTCCCTGCTTCTTGGTCTTCTGAGGTGGCAGAGGCCAGGCAGCCTGCCGTGTGAGACCCAGGTCTGCCGTTTATTAGCTGTGTGATCTTGGGCACATTACTTAACTATGCCAAGCCTCAGTCTCATTCTCTATAGAAGTATTGTTTCATATAGCGGTTATTAGAATTAATGAGAATAAACGGCAGCTATTATTACTTATTCTTCACTGTTGTTATTTGATTTTTACCTCCTCTGAGTTTTTGAACTTATAAGGAAGGTATCCTTTGGAATGGAAATTTGGAGAGAGACTTATAGGGAACAATATTTGTGGGGGAGGGAAAGGAGCAACAGCTAAGAATGAAATCAAAACAAAAAAAGAAGAGGGTGCTCAGTGAGGCATTTTAATGACAGCACTGCTGTTAGAATCTTTATGAGTCACTCCCAAATTCTCTGATTCTCTTGGTGAGAGGGTAAAATTCAGGTAAAATTAATGTCATCTCACCAAAGCCTGTCAGTAGTATCCTTTAGGAAATGTCTTATAAAACTTTGACAACTGGGCACCAAATTGGCATCTTCTGGCACCCTGAGGGGGGTGGGGTTGGAGGTAGGGATAGGGTTGCAGTCAGTGGTCTTTCTGAGTCTTTAAGAATTCACGTTGGCAGTGATCAACCCCTCCCCTCAAATCAGCTCCCCTGTCATCAGCGTCTGACCATGATGGAAACACCTCCTGTAATGAGAGGTGCCTCAGCACGTCTCGCCAGTGAGAAGTGGGTCAGTGTTACCTCCCCACTATTCATCTTGTTGCCATTCTTGAGATAGTCTCCATTTGTCCTTATACATATGCCTTCTACCCTTCTTGACCTGCCTCTGGGTTCTGGAAGGCTGACCCCTAAATTTTATGTATTAACTGGTGCTTTTAGAAAGCCAGGAGCAAAAGTGGGTATACTCGTAGTATGCCTCTATTTGTGTAAAAATGGATACACACACATACACACAAACACCCACATATGTGCATGTGCGTGTGTGTATATATACTTGTTTCAAGCATATTCTTGGAACAATATTAGTGTTTGCTTCTAGGGAGGGGAACATTGGAATTGGCAATCTAAGGTAGAAGGGAAGCCTGCATATAAGTATGTATATGCATCCCATTACACCTTATGTTTTATCATGTGCAAATATTTATTTTTCCGGTAAAAATATTGAAAGCATATGTATGAGAAACAGAGAGTAAAAAGAGAACGCATAGCTATTTTAGAATTGCTGATCAATGAAGGCCCTCATGTATAATCAATGAACCTGTGTTGTCATCCTGTCCTTCCCTACCTGGACAACTGCTGCCTGTCCTTAGACTGAGTTTTGTAGCTTCTCCCAGAATGTCCCCACACTATACAATCCCGGAAGGTCTGTCAGCATGCAGATTGACATAGGAGGCAAGTGGCCAGTGAGTGGGCCCTGCTCCAGCCCCCACCAGGTCTGACCTGGGGATATGTCCTATGTGCAGGGCAGAGTGAAGCACCACACACCAACAATTCTGGAAGCTTCTCCCTGCTGAGTCCCGAGGAAGTGAGGGCAGTGAGGCCTCTCAGGGACTGAGGTTTCCCACCTTGTCTTGACTATTTCACTGAAACGGTACTGTGCTGTCAGCACAATAGTTATTAAATGGGTACATGAATGATGAATGAATGAGCAAAGTGGGCAAATGAGCATTTTGCATAAATACATAAGCAGTCACTGGCTGGAGGGTAATGGGAAGGGCCAGGGCATTACTCCTCGTTCTCTGAGACTAAGATGTTTATCCCAACTAATCTCTACATTTAAGGAGGAAATGGTGATGAGGAGGACTCATCCGCTTATTCAACACAATTTTATGGAGCACCTACTATAGTCAAGGCACTGTGCTGGGTGATAAAAACACTCAATAGCTCCGCTAAGGGGCCTAAGAGACTTCTGTGAGCTAGCCTGGGCACTTGAGTCTCACAGTGATAGAAACAGCAAGGCCAGAAGTAGGTTGGCTTGAGAGATTCATAAACTTCAAGCTCATTGAAGGATTTGGCCTCAACTTGTTTGCAAAGACAGGAGATCCTGATGAATGTGATTCTTTTAACTTTGTGGCCCTCAACCACCCTCCCCCCACCCTCCAGTGTCCTGAAAGCCAGGTGAGGTGTTCTATTGCTAACATCAAATAAATAGCACTCCTCCATTTCCTTGTTTCAAAGGAAAATTAAGCCAGCTGATAGGATTTTCTTAGCTTTGAGTTTTTCCCCCCTTGAAGATTTCTTAAGCCCTTGTCACCAGCTATTGCTTATTCACTCTAGAATTTTTTATAGCACAATAGCTATCTGATCTAACAGAAATTTAAATACTAGTTATTTTTATTATCCGTGAAATGAAAGAACTGCTCATCCAGGGATCTTCAGGGTTTCCTCTAGCATCAATGCGCCAGGCTCCACTGCTCTCAGGGGCTGGTGATGGTGTGATATTTGGCTAGATTGCTGGGCCTCTGCTGGGAGCCAAGACAGCAATGGCCGGCCAGGCCCCACAGCCTCGGAACTCTCTGTGATCCAAGATCCTGCCTTCTGTGTGCATCCGGAAATGCATGTTGCCCCTTCCTCAGACAATAAGAGCAACTCCAAGTTGAAAGAAAGTGAAATTCAACTTTTCACTACCTTGTGTTCTCTTGACATTTAACAATCCCTTGTGGCAGTCCATTTCATTAAAGAAGAACCCTGCCAAAAAGTTCTTTTGTGTTGCATTTCTTAGAGAAAGTTCATTTCCTTCTAATATCAGGTGTTATTGGCAGTATCCTGCTCCTCTCTCTGCTTTTCACAGATGGGATAGAAAACAATGGCTGAGAGAAGTCATTTATATTGGGCTTTTGAATGAACCTGGGGACTTCCTTATAGATGGAAGAGGTGCTGAGGAACCTGTTATCTATCAAGATAATGACACTGTACTATGAAGGTCAGACTGAGGCAGAGAAGGACGCTGGGTTTCCCTGCCTTGAGCTCTGCTCATTAATTTCCCAGAACTGAATTCTCGGATGAGAAAACTGACCTCTTCTATGACCACTAGCAGAACTACCACTGTCTAGATTTTCCTTGGAGCAGGTGCATACTTAAATTTTGAGACACACAGACCTTTCCTAATACTACATAATAATAACAATAGCAACAATAACATTAACTACTTACCAATTGGGATCCTACGATGGACCTGACACTTTGACACAATATATGAATAAGTGGAGGGTTTATGATAGTCTTATTAGTAAACTTAAAGATAAGATGGAGAAGAGAGATTGAGAGAGAAGTGAGAGTAGACACACTAAGCCCTGGGCCTGCTTTGCCTTCTCAATTCTATATTTGAAACTCCTTTTGGGAAGATTTTTCTGAGTTTTGTTTCTGGTACAGTAATGATCTCACTGGTGGTAAAAACACTGCAATTAGCTCATCATTCTTCTTCATTCTCGATGTTGACATTAACTGGGAACTCTGTCTAATGTCAGAGTTTGAGACTGTTTTAATGCTTACAAGGGTGTGTGTCTCTATCTGTGTGTCTGTCTCTGTGTGTCTTCGCCAGCCTTCGAGAATGAGTAAGAGGAACCACTTCGTCCAGCAAACACCGGTGGGGATTTGCTACTGGCCCAGGGGGTAAGCAATGCTTTTGTCTAGCAGTGGTAGTGAGTACCCCAGGCTATAATTTCCAACTTAGAATGCACTTTCATATAGAAACAAGGACATAGAAGGTGCCTTAGTTACCAGACCAACCCCCCCAAAACACACTTAACTCAGCAAAACTGGTATTTTAGTATCAAAGTCAGTCTTTATAGTATAGTTGTGTTGGGGAATGTTTTTGGTGTGTGTGTGTGTGTGTGTGTGTGTGTGTGTGTGCGCGCGCGCGCGCAGATGCATATTTGTGTGTATAAAGTGTCATTCAGTGAAAATAACAAAGTAACTCATGGTAAAGAGTAATGCAGAGATGATAATAACATCATATTTTAGGAGTTCTCTGAGTTAACCAGGCAATTACTTGGCTACTTAACCTTTAATGTGACAGAGAAACAAGCTGGACCTTGAGCAGGTGGCGTGTACTTAGCACATCTATGTATATTATCCCAATTTAATCTTCACTTAATTGTAAAAATGTCTATGAAAGCGGTTGAGTGGAATTATCACTATATTATATGTAGGGTTAGATTCTAAAGTCAGTGAGTAAAGTGAAATTTATATAGAGTTGAAATTTGCTTAGAAAAATTTCCTGAATTACATATAAGGATATATGTGATTTGATTACGGCCTGGAACAGTAGTAAGTAAAGATGTATGATATAGTAATATGTCATATATTATAAAGAGTTCAAACACAACATGTAATTTTAGTTGCTGGGCTTATTTGCAGGGAGTCATATACAAAAATAAATATTGAAAACTTCTTAACTAAATATATAGACTGAGTCTATATATTTGCATTTGCTCAAGTTTATGCTCCACTGTATTATTATCTCAAATATATCAATAAGGAAACTTTACTCATAAAAGTTAAATATCTTGCTCAAGGAGAGCTGGTAAGTAGTAGAATTAGAGTTTGAATGTAGGTTCTTCTTACTTCAGAGCATCTGTCTCTCTTCCTAAATGTGTTTTGATTTCTAAATCGTTGTTCAGTAAATGACCCTTTGAAGATTATTTATGTTAGAATTTGCCTGTATTTATATGTAACATGTTACATATAATATCTGTGTACACATAAACACCCAGCTATGTGTCTTGTACATATATGCTAGAAACTCATGAACCTGGAACATAGTAGGAATTGAATGAGCCAATCATAATGGACAAAATAAGAAATGCAAATGAACACCAGGATGAGAGTTAGTTCTCTCTTAGCAAACACTCAGTGTTTACTGTCAATACCATAACTCTACTATATGTAACAATAGTTTTCATTCAACACAGGAAATCCCTGAGGCTAAAAGATGGTCATGAAACAGACACAGAAGGCACTGATCCATATGAGGTGTAAATTTAGATTGGTGTCTTATGTCTAAAACCTCAAACATCTCAGATGTATACATTGTTCATCCATCCATCCATCCATCCATCCATCCATCCATCCATCCAACAGAAGATGTACCTTGTGTCAACCATCATGGCCAGAATTTTTGTATATTAAAATATAAGAAATACACCCACCAATAATTTAAGAATCTATACTAGTTCCCAAATGCTAGAAATGATTCTTATTGAGCAAAAGTTAGAAATGTATATCCTACTTGAGTGCTCTTAGGATATATTACTTTGCATTGTAGGTCCATTATGAATTGTCATCTTTTCATTAGCAAACCTCACCTGAATTATTACTATGGTTTAGTTTTTTCACTGGTCCATTTCATCATATGCATATAATGACATTTCTTTCAAAACAAGGATAAGGCAGGCTTTTCATTACTGGGGCAGCACTTTATCCCTGTGCCAGTAATTGATGAAAGTGGCTTTATATTTTATCATCATCAACGAAGGTCAAAGCGTTGCAGTCTATAGCATCTTCATTTGATTACAAAGTGCCCTGACCAGAGGTCAGAGATTTCAGGGCTGAACAGCACTAGCAGCCACTCATGTGTGCTGGGAATCCCATGGGTGTTGGAAGCAGGGCCCTCACCGTTACCTGTAGTGTTGAAGCCAAAGAGGAGAGGGCAGGACACGGCAAAGGCCAGTACCCAGACGGTTGTAATCATGAGGGCCACACGCCGGCAGGAGCTCTGTCCCGTGCCATGTTGGTAGTGAACTGGCATGACCACTGCTGTGTATCTGGAAAAGGGCGGGGAGAGAAGACGGGCAAGATGAGAATGGATGGGGGAACTGTTCAAAAGACAAGCTGAAGGAGGTTACTAGAGAAATAACCAGGTCGATAAATGTGGCAAGAGAAAAGTAATTCTGCTGGAGAAAGAGAGAAAAGGTGAAGATAGTAGAAAGGCTGAGATAAGACAGATGAAGAACTCATTGAGGGGGCTGAGCAGAGAAATGGAGAAAGAATAAAAAAGTTAGCACGGCAGCACTGGGTTGCTGGAGAGCTTCTTGACTGGGGCTGACTGATGGGTGGCCCAGCTTACTTGAGCTCTGAATTCACCACTCGGACCCCTGAAGACTTTGGGTGCTGGTGTGTGCCTTTACTTTCTCCAACAGAGAAATAATAGATAATATTAGATAATATCAGATAATAATAGAACTGTGCCCAAAGTGGATGTTTGCCCTGCTTGTATCCTAATATAAACTCTAACCCTCATGGTGACAACTATTCCAAATAGCAGAGATTTTGAAAATAGAGATGAGTAATATCCAAGGATGGCTTATTTTAAAATCCGGTTTTCATGCCAACTTAGTCTGTTTGGGCTGCTATATAAAAAATACCGTAGGCTAGGTGGTGTAAACAAAAAACATTTATTTTTTACAGTTCAGAGGGCTGAGAAGTCCAAGATCAAGGCGCTGGCAGATTCAGTGTTTGGTGAGGACCCACTTCCTGGTTCATGGACAGCTGTCTTCTCACTGTGCCCTTACATGGGGAAAGGGGCAAGGGAGCTTGGTGGGATCTCTTTTATAAGGGCACTGATCCCATTCATGAGTTCTCTACCCTCACGACTAATCGCCAAAGGTCCCACTTCCTAATACTATCACTTTGGGGGTTAGAATGTCAGCATACGAATTTTGGGGGACACATTGTCTACATCGCATGCTTTTACATGGTCAAAGCAGAGTTCCTTATTTTTGTTGGATAGTGTTGTCTTTTCTATGGCAACTCCTCACACACATTTCCGGCTGCTTGTTGGACTTATTACCTGAACCATTCTTCCACAGTCACCTCAAACACAAGTTATCTGAAATACATTTCCCTATCTCCCCACATCCCTTAATCTGTTTCTACTGCCTGCCTTTCTTCAAGACACCCACACCTAATACTCTGGTCTTTTGACTCTACTTTGGCCCTTTCATATAATTTTCTCATTCCTTCATTTAACCTTTCATTCATTCATATTTATTGAGTCCCTGCTATATGCCAGGCTCTACTCTGGAAATATAGACATGTGCAAATTGGACAATGTCTCTGTCTTATGGGGTTTGGAGTTGAGTGGAATGGATAGATAAAAAAAACTATGTTAATATAAAATGAAGAGTATCATGAGAGAAATATGTTGGGTGACACGTTTGAGGGTAATGGAAGCTGTAAAAAAGGGGCAAACTGGCATAGACTGGGCAGAAAAATGAGAGGAGTAAGAGAGACCCAACCATGAGGTAAGATAGGGGAAGATTCTTTTAGGCAGAAAACAGCAGGTCCTGTAAATTTACCTGTTATGATGTCGTTGTAGAATCCCCTCCCACAGAATGTAGACTGAACATGTGAATAGGATATTTTTTCCTGTGATTAGATTACTAATCAAGAGATTGAGTTAATCAAAAGGGAGATTATCCTCAGTGGGCCTGATCTACTCAGGAAGCCCTTAGAAAGGACTGGGCCCTTCCTTAATTCAGAGAGATTCAAAGCATAAGAACTTATCCTATTGATCATGAAGGATCATTTTCCAAAACTGTCATGTTTTGGAAAAGGTCACTTGGCAGAGAATGGCAAAAGGCCTCTAGGAGCTGAGGATATCCCCTGGTTGACAACCACCAAGAAAGTGGGGACCTCAGTCCTACAACTGCAAAGAACTGAATTCTACTGACAATCTGAGTGAGTTTGAAAGAGGACCCCAAACTCCAGATGAGAACGCATCCCAGGCTGTACCTTGCTTTCAGCCTTGTGAGACCTTGAGCAGAGAACATACCTGCACTATGCATAGACTTCTGACCTACAGAAATGGTGAGATAAAAAATGGGGATAATTTATGCCGCTAAACTTGTGATAATTTGTTCCACAGCAACAGAAAAGACTGGTGTCTCTGTTCAATCTGTTACCCCTTCTCCTTCTCTGGGTTGCACATTCTTGCTCTCCCTCAATCCTGGATCAGCTCTGCGCTAACCTTCCCAATCCTCTCCATTTTAGAGAGCCCTCTAGCTCTGAACATATAGCATTCTTATGCCAATCAATCACGTTGCTCTTCTGCAGGCAGTTGTCTTGTCTCACTATTGAACTTGCCTCATGGCTGGAGTGAGAGAGGCCCCGTATGATTTAAGTTGCTTGATGGCACAAATCATCTTATAGCCTTGGTATTCCCCATAGGTTTTGCACAAAGCAAGCAGTAAGAAGCTACTGCTTGATTGCCTCATGGGTGAGGAAGGCCTCCTTCCCTACAAGAGGATAATTCTAATCTTAGCCAAGGTCAAGAGATCTAACATGCATAGCTGAGTCTACATATGCTTCAATTTTTCTTTGTTTTCTGTGTCCAGGGAACGTGGAAGCCAGCTTCAGAGAAGGAGCCTCCGTAGTCCCACTGTATATATACCTCAAGACTTGGGACTGAGGAAGGGAAGAGAAGGACAGGCTCTGGGCTGGAGGGGCTGGGACAGTGCTTCCTGATGCTCCTTCTATATGTGCCAGCCCTGCCTGAATCATCTGCCTTTTGTGCATCTGGCCTAAGAGTTCATGCATTAACATTTGTATTCGCCCAAAAGCAGTTTGAGAGTCAGCTCTGAGGGCTCAGATGGAGGCAGACTCTGCAGGACTTGACCTTGGCACTATGGTGTGTGACACAGGTGGCTTCTTTCTCAAAGAGGAGAAATAGGGGCCCTTATTTAATAAGGTCAAATTAAGATTCCACCACCAACCCTAAGGGAGGCTCATGACAACCCGGTTCCATTCTCCTGATGCACATACATTGCAAGTCTTCCCTTGAACCCCTAACTTGTCGATGAAGTAGCAGGGCAAGTAGTACCCGGCATTCCTCCAGGCCTCTCACCGTCCTCAGGACTTTAGACTCTCCTGGGGCAGTGAGCTGTGACTTCAAGTCAAATGTGTCTGCCAGGGCCAGGCCTCCAGCAGCGATCCCTGAGGCACTGAGCCTTGAGTCTTGCAGCTATCATGGCCGAACAACTATAGAGGGTTGGGAAGGAAAGGTATGACTCAATTCCTTCTGTCCATACCTGCAGTTGGGCCCAGGTTTTCCATTACATAATGTCCTTTGATGTAAAAAATCCTGTCCATCCCATACATTCAGTGGTGTGCTGCTAAATAGCTAACAACTGGCTTTCCAGGTGAAAAAGGCCCTAGTTTGTACCATTTGTCAGTTTCCATGGTATAAATACTCCCACTATTAGCCCATTTCAAGCTACAACAAAGGTTCAATCACTGGCTCAAAAAATTCTTAAAATTTTGCCAATTAGCTTTCGCTAGCCATCCAGCTGGCTCCAAGCATACCACTGAGAGTTGCACACTTTCCTAAACATGCTTTAATGTTCAGCAACTCCTTGGAGGTTCCCGGTAATTTATTAAGTCAGCAAGTGTAGATAACACTGGCTCATGTTATAAAGGAGGAGTCAGAGACAGAGAGGTTACATGATGAACCCGAGGTCCCGCGGCCAGTCACGGCAGAGCCAGGTCTCCCACCTCTGAGACCAGTGTCTCTCCTGGGTGCCCCACTCCCTCTCAAAGGCGTTGACAAGTTTCTGAGGCCTTGTGGGGACAGGAGCTTTGTGCTTAGAGCTGAGTTTCCCATTAACCTGATTCTGTTACTTGCCTGGGGGTCCTGTTAAAATACACATTCTTGGGCCACACCACTGGATGTTTTGATTAAGTGCTTCTGGAGTGAAACCCAGAAATGTGTATTTTTGACAAGCAAGCGCATCTTATGATTAGACAAGTTTGAGCAAGTCTCCATGAGGGAAAATTTCTGCGTCAAAACTTCTTGTTACTTGGGTTAAAAGCGAGAGATGAGACTGCGTTTATCACTGTTACATTTTTTTTTCTAAGTATTTTTTTAGACATGATTAAACATTTAGAATAAATGAGGCCCCCAAACTTGTCTCCAGGGTTTTTCTGCTAGGAAGCCTGCTATAGGGCTGAGACATAGAGGCTGTTCCTGAATTAGCCATAGGAGGGCACCATAATGCAGCCCAAACTCTGCCAGCTCCGCCCGGGTGAGAAGTTCATTGCTCACCTGGGGGCTCTCCAGGCCCTGAGCGAGGCAGAGAGGCAGAGCTGGGGCCCTTGGTTCCTGGAGCACTGCAGGGACCCTGAATTCCCAAACAGGCTGCTGAAACTCTGATCTCCTTCGAAATGCATCGCAGATGACCGACCGACCGCAAGCAAAGGCAGGGTGGGGGCTTGGATGCAAGCTGGAGGCTAGCCTGGGGCCGCCGCTGAAAGTGTGGCGGCTGTGCTCACCACGGGCCTGCGGACTCTGCGAGCCGCCCACGTCGCTCTCTCACCTGGCCCTCTCCCCTTGTGTTTGAGCTCCTAGCTTCTCTGGGCCTTTTCTGGTGTGGCTGGAACACGGGCTGTGGGCAAGGTGGTTAAGTCCGTGGGCCTTGGAAAGAGACTGACTCGTGTCTGAATCCATTCTTCCACTTAACTGTGTGGCCTGGGCCAGAGATTTGGCGTCTCCCGCTCTTCTTCCTTATCTGCACAATGTGGGTAATGTTTCGGCTCCATAGGGCTGCTATGAATAGTGAATGAGAGTAGCTCTGTGAAGTTTTTTGTTTTTTTTTTTTAAGCACAAGGACTGGTACCTATGAAACATTCAAAAACAATTTTGTTATGATTGTCATTATGATTGTGCTAGCCCAAGGGATCTGGGATTGTTCGTATCAGTGAATTTATGGGTGTCTCCCCTTATTCCTGATTATCACAGAACATTAAATTTATTTATCAAGCAAGTATA